ACCAAGAGACCGCTGTTGAATTACTTCCGAATATTTGGCGGGCGGACTTTAGTGCAATGCGAACTAAGGCTTCAGTTCTGAACTGTGAGATTTCGATGGCTGACTCTGTCCAGTTAGCCTGGGATAAATTTAAGGCATACCTTACGGAGGTTTCCGCACCCTATATTCCACTCATTAGGAAAAGAGGGTTAAGGGCACAGCCTCCATGGATAGATACCACAGGCAAGTACCTACTCAAGAAACGGTCTAGATGCTGGCGAACCTACCAAGCAGCTCCATCAGCCAGTACCTATGATAGTTATCGAGAGAATAGAAATAAATGTAAGCAACATCTCAGAACTGCTCGTCTCCAATACGAGCAGGGTTTAGCGGACTCGGCCGCAGCTAATCCCAAGAAGTTTTTTGCTTACGTTAAAAGACGCAGCGGGGCAAAATTGTCTATACCAGCTTTATTGCGAGCAGACGGGACCCCTGCGCAAACTGACTATGACAAGGCTTGTATACTGAGTGATCAGTATACTGCGGTCTTTGCTCGGGAGACCTCTTTACCGCAGGTTGAATTGGTTTCAAGAGTTCCAGAGGATTCTTGCTTAGCTGAATTTAGCATAACGGAGACTCAGGTCTTCGAGCTACTGCAAGGCATTAATCCCTCTAAAGCTTCCGGTCCTGATTCAATTCATCCGAAGCTGTTGCATGAACTGGCCACTGAGCTGAGTGGTCCGCTCACGTGCGTATTTTCAATATCGCTGGACAGCTGCAGCCTACCTTCGGAATGGAAGGAGGCAATCATCTCTCCGATTTTTAAGGGCGGTGACAGCGCTCTACCCGCGAACTACCGGCCTGTCAGTTTGACAAGCGTAGTAGTCAAGTTGTTCGAGAAGCTGATAAGGGATTCAGTGGAGAACCACCTGAATCGATTCAACCTTCTCAGTGTTGCACAACATGGATTCCGCAAAGGATTTTCATGTCAGACTAATTTACTTGTAGCTCGTGAAAGCTGGGCCGAAGCGGTAGACAGTGGCCACGCTGTAGACGTGCTATTCGTAGATTTTTCGAAAGCTTTTGACACTGTTCCACATCTTCGGCTCTCACTAAAGTTGAGATCTTACGGGATATCTGGTCGCGCCCTTCAATGGGTGTCTGCCTTCCTTGAGGGGAGGGAACAGTGCGTACGGGTGGGGCGTAGCCTTTCGCTCAGGCAAGCTGTCCTTAGTGGCGTTCCGCAGGGCTCGGTATTGGGGCCATTGTTGTTCGCGATCTATGTAAATGACTTGCCGGGAGAGCTAGGGGTGTCATCATTAATGTTTGCTGACGACCTTAAGCTCTGGAATATTGTGGATATCCCGGGGGGTCCTGAGGCAATTCAGCGTGCCTTGGATAGACTCTGGGAATGGTCTATCTTATGGTTGATGCCCATAAATAGGGCCAAGTGCTCTGTTCTCCGAATCGGAGCTGCTAATCCTCCCACCCGATATGTTCTCGGCTGTGGTGAACTCCCTGTTGTCACTCAGCAGGTTGATTTAGGAGTCGTACACGCATCAGCACTTCATTCTGGAGACAACTGGAAGAAGGCTGCTTGTCGAGGGTTTCGTATGATGTGGTTTATCCGCCGCTCTTTCGGAATCCTAACAACCAAGTTGTTTGTGAAGCTATTTTCGGCATTCGTCCGACCCCACCTGGAATATTGTATTCAGGCTTGTCCACCATGTCTTAACCGAGACGAAATGGACTTGGAGAGGGTGTTACGAGTGGGCACTCGGTTAGTGCAGGGTCTACGGGGACAGACGTATCCTGAACGCTTGCTCAGTTTGGGGATGTACTCCATGCACTACCGAAGGATAAGAGGGGACCTGATGCTCACTTATCGTATTTTGACGGGTAAGATTGGCCCGGACTTGTCAGGGCTTTTTAGTCCCGCTACGTTACCTAGTCTCCGCGGTCACCCACTGAAACTGCATAAACCACGGTCTGATAGGATTAGGACGGAAACTCGTCTATCGCGCCGAGTTATAGATCGCTGGAATTCTCTTCCAGATCACGTGGTTAGGGAACCTACGGTTAAGGGTTTTGCGCGCCAGCTCGATGCTCTTGGGTGGCAACAGCAAAACTTTCCTTTTTCCTAGCTGACTCACCTTCATTTTTCAGTTCATTTTTTATTGACTCAAATATCTTGGCAAAACACTCCAGCGTCGCGCCTAAAATGCTCTACTCTTATTTGAAAAGAAGCACTAGAGCTGGTAATGGCATCCCTGCTTTGTGTTCCTGTGATCATCAAGCTTTACTTCACGAGGACGCTGAGAAAGCTAGTCACTTGGCTAAACAATACGCTTCTGTTTACGCGAAAGAAACGCCATTTAGTGACAGAGCCGTATCCACATTTCCATCTTCGTTGGCCCAAGTAGATATTAACACTGATTCTGTGATGAAACTTCTTCTTCAGTTAGATCCGTATAGCTCACCCGGCCCTGATGGATTGCATCCTTTGCTCCTCAGGACTGTGTCGGAGTACATAGCTTCACCTATATGTCAAGACTTTCGTCGCTCACTAGAAGCTGGCCGTCTTCCCTCAGCTTGGAAAGTGGGTATTGTCAAACCCATTTACAAAGGAGGAAGTCGACATGATCCGGCCAATTATCGTCCAATCTGTTTGACGTCAATAGTGTGTAAAGTTATGGAACGGATCCTAAAACAAGCTGTTACTCTTCATCTTGTTGGACAGAATGTCATTTCTTCTGCCCAGCATGGGTTCAGAAAAGCACGCTCCTGTACTTCGAACTTGCTCGTTGCTAAGGAGACCTGGGCAAGGTCGCTAGACTCCGGCAAATGCTTGGACGTTGTGTTTGTTGACTTCAGCAAAGCTTTTGACAAAGTCCCGTATGAACGGCTCCTGTTTAAGCTCCAAGGAATCGGTATTTCTGGGAACCTCCTGTCTTGGATCTCCGACTTCCTAAACGACCGCTCTATGCAAGTGAAGGTGAATGACACATTTTCTGCTCCTGTTCTCATGACGAGCGGGGTCCCACAGGGCTCTGTCCTCGGTCCCGTACTTTTCAATATTTTCATCAACGACTTACCATCCACTCTTCAGACGGATTGCCTAATCTACGCTGACGACCTAAAGCTATGGATGGAAGTATCAAGCCTTGAAGACGCCGACCGATTACAAACTACGCTCAATCTACTCCATGACTGGTCGATTAAGTGGCAGTTGCCAGTAAATCGTGATAAATGCTCTGTTCTCCCCGTTGGCTCATCAAACCCATTTGGAACTTACCATATTGGTGGTTTCTTGCTCAGTAGCGCAACCCAAGAGAGGGATCTTGGAGTGATAGTGTCATCAGACCTCAAATCTATCCAAGACACCCAGAAGAGGGTCGCCGCGGCCTACAGGATGTTCCATTCTATACGTAGAGGCTTTTCTCTCCTGACCCCGGGACTTTTCCGACTCCTCTTTGGCTCGCATGTACGCCCGATTCTCGAATACGGACTACCCGCTGCCTACCCTCTCACCAAATCCGAATGTGATATGATAGAGAAGGTTCAACGGCGTGGATCCAAATCCGTCCCTGAGTTGCGAGACCTGTCGTATCCACACCGACTTCAACGACTGAACTTGTTCTCTCTAGGCTACCGCCGTCACCGAGGAGATTTGATTTTCACTCGACGTATTCTCAGAGGAGAACTGGGTTGCGAGTTACAGGACTTCTTTTAACTCAACACTGAGAGTTCGACACGAGGCCACCGCATGAAACTGTTCAAACCGAGGAATCTCCGTGTGCGGCTCAATTTGGCCTTATCAACTCGCGTGGTGAATGATTGGAACCGGTTGCCGGATCCTGTTGTTGATGCTGAGACAGAGGAACGTTTCAAACAACTGTTAGATTCTCACTTGAGCGCGCTGTTATTCTGCTGCCTCTAAGGCAGCTACAGTGGTCCTCTGCGGAAACTTCTACCGCAATGAACCACGCCATCTCCGCAATGATCGGGAAGTGAAGGAGCTGACAAAGGATCTTCCTTCTGCTTTCTATCATCCAATGATCCAATGATCCAATGATCTTAGTATTCCACTTGCTTGGCTCTCACCACTTTCTCTTTTGCCTCCTGCGTTTACTTTTTTCTCTTTTTTACTTCACGTAACCGACCCAGCAGGGACTGCTAGGGCAGGATACGTGGGCATTAATTGGTTGGACAGGGTGTGATGCGGTCTTTGTTTTAGGTCCATCAGTTTTTCAAATTTCGCCAACTCCTGGTTCAACGACCCGCCGAAGAAGGAACACTTACGGGATCTATCCTATCGTTCCAGTCCCGCTTGAACTTGAACTTGGGTTACAACAATTCTTCCGGCCCAACACTGACAGTTCCGCCCAAATGCACAAAAGGAAGCTGTTTAAGCAAAGAAGACACAAAATTCGCAAGGACATCACCCTATCCACTAGAGTGGTGAATGACTGAAACAGCTTACCAGAAGCAATTGCAGACGCTCCATCAGAGGAAAGTTTCAAGCGGCTGCTAGACAAACATTCGCTGAGAATGCTGGAATCTTGCGGCTGTCACTGCAATTACGACAAATCCTCGAGGAACGTAACGCAACGACACGCATCAAACCCAGTATGATAAGGAATCGATGGGGCTGACAAGGGATTTCATTCCTGCTCTCAACAAAATGAACTCAATGAACTCAATGTACCGTCCAGTTCAACAGATATATACCATCGTATATATCACACCGTTCATATTTATTAATGTGGCACTCTCAAACAGCAAATGTTTTAATAGCTAAATTTATCTCCTGCTTATGTCCTAATCTCACGACGTTCAGCCGAAGGAACCCACTAAACCTATTTTCTTTTTATTTTCCCTTAATTTTGCATGCAATTGTTCACCAATTTGATGTTCAAAAATATACGCAATTCTGATTTCTCGTAACTTTTGAAATTCGTCTGGAGATATCTGCTTCTTTATATTTCTTATTTAGGATCTGCTTAGTGTTTTGTTTAAGTTTTCTCACATCCGCTGGCACACGGCGCGCTGGAGTTGTGTCCTTTGGTTCCCCACTTTCCTAACTCCGACGTGAGTGTTTGGTGCCCTTTTTGATTTTCTGATGTACTGTTTGTTTTGTCTATTCTATTTCTATCTGTTTTCTTTGGGAATGTGCTTACTTTTCTTATGATATCATCCCATTTGTCGACAGTTTTGTCGAAGCATGAGTATCCTAGACATCTGCGTACTCTAGTGTACCATTGTATTATCAGATTATTCGCACAGATATTCTCAATTACCTTATCTTGGTTAAAAATATTTTACGATTTTCCTAGTCTTTGTGGTCACACTAAAGCTGGACTTGCCGCGTTCAGATCATTTTAAGAACTTGCTCGTCACTTCGAAGTGCGCTAGTGGGGCACATGGTTAAGGAAACTCTGAAATTTGAGTGCCTGGCTTGTTGGTCTTACCAAACCTCGTCCTCCTGATCTAATTGTATTATTAGGTTTCAACTGCTTTTAGCTGTCTCGTGCCATTGCCTTGCACTTTTGAATTTAACATCCATTCAAGTTCAGATGGGACCGGAACGATAGGCTGATCCCATGAATGTTTTTTTCTTTTGTGTATCGTCGGATCGGGAATTGACAGGTCTGCTTGAGATGTTGAAAAGCCTAAAACAAAGACCGCATCACACCCTGTCCAACAAATTACTGCCCACATTTTCCTGCCTAGCAGTCCCTGCCAGGCCGGTTTATGTGAAGTAAAAGAGTGAAGGGTAAGCTAAGAAAACAAGAGGAGGAATGTCAGTTAAATAATGATGATACCAAGGTGAGAAGGAAATTAAAAAAGGACGAAGGGAAGGTTGAAGATACAAGTCGGTTAAGAGAAAGGGAAGGTTTGGTACTGCCACCCAAGAGCATCTAACTGACGCTCGAAACCATCTACCGTAGACTCCCTAACCACGTGCGTCGGAAGCGAGTTCCAACGTTCAATAACTCGACGGGACAAGCGAGTTTCTGTGCTTAACCGGTCAGAACGCAGTTTGTGCAGTTTCAACAGGTGACCTCGAATACTAGGCAGCCTGGCGGGACCAAACAGCTAGGACAAGTCTAGACTGATCTTATCTGTTAAGCTACGGTAAGTGAGGATCAAGTCTCTAATTCTGCAGTAGTGCATTGAGTACATACCCAAGCTAAGCAAACGTTCGGGATACGTTTGCCCCCGTAATCCTTGCACTAACCTTGTACCCACTCGCAAAACCCTCCAGTTCCATTTTGTCCCTTATAAGACAAGATGGACAAGCCTGGATACAGTACTCTAAGTGAGGTCGCACAAAAGCTGAGAACAGCTTCACAAAGATACTGGCCGTTAGGACTCCGAAGGAGCGGCGAATAAAGCGCATCATACGGAACCCTCTACAAGCAGCCTTCCTCCAATTTTCCCCAGAGTGAAACAATGAGGTATGGGTGATACCTAGATCAACCTGCTGAATGACAACTGGGAGTTCACTTCCACCAAATACATAGCGCGTGGGGGGACTAGCAAATCCAATGCGGAGGACAGAACATTTCGCTTGATTTATGGGCATCAACCATAAGGTTGACCAATCCCAGAGCCTATCCAAGGCACTCTGAAGTGCATCAGAGCCACCAGGGATATCCACAATATTCCAGAGCTTGAGGTAAGCCGCAAACAATAGCGACGGTACTCCAAGCTCTTCGGGTAGGTCATTGACAAATTGCGAAAAGCAACGGCCCTAGAACCGAGCCCTGCGGAACGCCACTAAGAACAGCTTGTCTAAGCGAAAGGCTACGCCCCACGCGTACACACTGTTCTCTGCCCTTTAGGAAAGCAGAAACCCATTTGAGGGCGGCTCCAGATATCCCATACGATCTCAACTTCAATGAGAGTCGTTGATGGGGGACAGTATCAAAGGCTTTCGAGAAGTCAACGAAAAGCACGTCGATGGCGTGACCGTTGTCTACTGCCTCAGCCCAGCTTTCACGAGCTACAAGTACATTTGTCAGACTTGAAAATCCGTTCAGGAATCCATGCTGGGACGCGCTCAGACGGTAAAACTTAATCAGGTGATTCTCCACCGAATCCCTGACCAATTTTTCAAACAACTTGACTACTACACTTGTTAAGCTGACAGGCCGGTAGTTCGCGGGCAGAACTCTGTCCCTACCCTTAAAGATCGGACAGATGATTGCCTTCTTCCATTCCGAAGGTAAGGCACAGCTGTCGATTGATATTGTAAACATGCATGTCAGAGGGTCACTTGGCTCAGCGGCCAATTCATGCATCAGCTTCGGATGAATTGAATCAGGGCCAGAAGCTTTGGAAGGATTTAGCCCTTGCAATAGCCCGTTATGCTGATTTCAGTTAGATAAGAATCCTCTGGAACTTTTGTGACCAGCTCAACCTGAGGTAGAGGTCTCATGCCAAAAGACACCAGTATACTGTTCTCTAAGTATACAGGCATCATAGTCCGTATGCCCATGGGTCCCGTCCGCTCGTAGTAAAGCAGGTATAGACGAGTTTGTACCGCTACGTCTCTACGTAAGCAAAGAACTTTGGATTTGTTACGGCTGCGTTAGCCAAATCCTCCTCGTACTGAAGACGAAGGTTTCTAAGATGTTGCTTACATTTATTTCAAACCACTCGACAGCTTTCGTAGGTGATGGTTGATGAAGCCGCTTGGTAAGTTCGCCAGCACTTAGAGCGCTTCCTGAGCAGGTATTTACCTGTATGATCTATCCATGGAGGCTGCGCTTGTGTCACCCTTCTCTTAGTGAGTGGGATGTGCGGAACAGAGATCTCGGTGAGGTATGCCTTAAATTGCTCCTAGGCTGTCTCATCGGTGTCACCCACGGTGATCGCACAACGCAAAACTGAAGCTTTGTCTCGCATTGCGTTAAAGTCTGCCGCGCCTATTGGAAGGCGTTGACTGAATGTTCTGTTCATGCGTCTTTGTTTGGTAGGTTACCAAACAGGGGCCCAATACTCCCCATGAAGTCAGCACACCTGCTGGAATACAATGTCCCACCGAGGTGGAACATTGTCGCCGAACACTTTGCTGGAACGGGGTACACCCGAACCAGCAAGCTGGCACCAGGAGGAGGTTGTTCGGCAAGCCAGCCCTGAGTGTAATAACAGAGTTTCAACCCGAATATGGCCAGGTGGTCTGTATAGCTTCGAAGACCAGACAATCTGCCTGAGCCAAATAGTCTTAATGCGTAACCGCCTACACCACCATAGGGGTATTTCCGACTAGTTCGCTTTTATGCTTATTTGAATGTCATAGTTTACCGAGGAATGTACTCTGTTCCGTCTCTTCGCTCTACTGTTTTAGTCTATACTTCCCCAAGGGGACCCGGCAGTACGCTGTGACCCTCGATGGCGAAGTTACAAAGGACAGGTGGTATCGGACATTCTTTTTTCATCGCGGTGCAGTTAACCAGAACTACGCGCGTACAGTGCTCTTGTGACATTTCTCGGTCACCTACCCTGATCAAACAGTCCCAATAGCCACATTGCAACATGGTCTACCACTCGAACAACAACAACTAACAGCAGCAGTACATCAGCCATTTGAACTGATGCTTCGTTGCCATACAATCATGATGACCTAAGGAATAAAGATTAATAAGAGAGGAGAGAAGAAGTAAAACTTGAATGCCCCAATCAAACACTCAAGTCGCTTACATCTTGTATAGGCAACGGACGTCACCAACATCTGGCTGTCGTTCAAACATAAGGCGGCATTGGCGAGACAGCTTCCTTGCGGCTTTCACTGCCACGCGTCACTATCAGCCATTACCCCACAGATAACAGCATCAATAACACCAAACAGGCAATCCAGGTAAGAGACAGAAGTAGACGTGCCACTGGTATCGGTTGCGAGTCATGTCCTGGAAAGTCTCTAGCCAAGCACAAGGCGGGTCACATGGCCTCCAGCCCGGAAGACGAGGAGGACCAACGGCACCCAGTTTGGTCGTCAATAACTTCCAAATAACTTTCCAAGTAAACTTTTTTCCACCTCGAGCTTTGCGCCATCCTATAACTGGCAGACTAAGCAAAACCCTCCTCAGTAAGTTGTGACCAGTTGTGCCCAAGCCAACACAACTTATTCAGTGCTGTCTGCTGTCCTTGGGAACTAGCGTGAATATCACCACCTAGTACTCGGCTACGCACATCATTGCGGACACCTTGGTTCCATCCGACACCAGCAACGCTTCGCAGACAACGATACTTAGAGACTTGAAGGCGCCTCAGGTCTTCTGACCGAATGTGCCAACTTTCCCTATCATAGTTCAGGACTTTCCTCACTGTGGCCTTGTATATACGGTCTTTCAGACGCAAGAAAACTCCCTTCTGTCGTTAAAGATGCCGCAGGTTCAAGAAGGTAGTTCTGGCTTTTGCAATGCTAGCAACTGACTTCAGTTTCTATACGCCCATCGTTGCTGATGCAGCTGCCAAGATAATTGAAATGATCAACCACCAGTTCCTCGTTAGCAAGCGTCAAACGGGCATCAAGTGGTGGTCCTGCAGCAACACTGCACTTTGAAGGTGCGAAGTGCATACCAAATAATGGGACAACTCTGGGCAAGCTATCCAGGTTTGATTGTGCCGCCGCAACATCGTCGAAAAGCAAGATGATATCGTCCGCATAATCTAGGTCAACTGCTCTTTCCCAAGTTAAGGCCTCAACGCCTACATTGTGAGATTCCGCAAGAGAACACTCCATGGTAGAGTCCACAACGATATTGAACAAAATTAGGGAAATCTAACAACCCTGACGAACGCCACTTGTTGTCGGAAAGGTATCCGATAGAACACCGTAGACCCTGACGCGGCCTGTAGTGTTCGAGTATAGAGCACGAAGGATGTTCACATATTTCGTGGGATCACGTTTCCGCGCAAGTATTTCGAACAGAATGCATCGATCGCATGATTTGAACGCATTCTTGGAATCAAGTAACACAGCTGTTGTCGGTCTGCTTTATGCGTAGCGCTGCTCTAGTACCTGCTGCGGAGTGTATATAGCCTATACAGCCAGAAGACGTCGCCGAGGCCGAATCTGTGCAGAAATTCAAATCTTTGTTGGATTTACACTTCGCTAACATTCATTTCAGAGAACGGTTGCCACTTGACAACGATATCACCCACTTGTGACTCACTGTGAACAAGCATTTTGTGTGCTACAGAAGGAGTTGCTGAACCATCTCAGGATAACCACCGAACGTGTTTATTTATTTTTTAAAATGTTTTTGATTATCACCCGATGGAGTTGTACAGAATTATTTTCTACTTGCTCCAAAATACAGTATTCAGTACTCTTCCTTAATCTGAGATTCCCGTCCAACGATGGGGCGACGAACAAGAATCGAGGCCAACAATTTTGTCACAACTAGCTTTAGGCAAACGCCCCTGTGGTTAGAATAGTCCATGCGACTGCCGTTCTTGTATATTGCCACTATAATCGATTCGCTCCAGTTAGCCGAGACACCCTTCCAGATACGTTCGAATATGAAGGTCAGTGTTTTGCAGAGGACCTCACCTCCGTTCTTAAGTAGTACAGGTAGGAGGGAATCCGGGCCAGCGGCACTACAAAGATTGAGGGTTGTGCTCGCGTTTCGGACCTCGGCCTAGCATTCAAGTGTAATGAAAAAATCTCGTACCAGCAGTGCATCAGTTTATACTGACATCGCTTCTATCATATCTCGGCCGTACTCAGTCTTGGACTTCCCGATTTATCTCAGGCCAGGTATTGCGGTGAATGTGTTCATAAAGGAAGGGGTCAGATGAAATATTTGAGGTGGTTGATGATAATGTGCATCCGGCGAGGACGACGACGCGCATTCGGACCTTTGGTTACAGACCAGGCGCACTGACCACTGGGCCGCCATGCACAATGCCTCTGCTTGCAACACTATCAATCGTCACTGAATATCCAAGTCGTCGGTTAATCTGTTAGGACCCAAAAGGAAATTCACCGCTGGCTAAGCACAATGTACTCAAACGGACTATCCGGTGCGAATTAAGTCTGCCTGCTGAGAAGGGAGCCTGCTAGACCAGTTGAGTTAAAGAAATGGGGAGGCTAGCGCAGTATGTGATTATCGAAAGCGTTCCTAATGGATTCGCGTCACCGGTCCTATAAAACCAGACGTCAGCGAGACAATTAGATAACGCGGATACCATGATTCACAATAACGAGCGCCGTGTGGGCTTTCGAGATCAGTTCAGTTGGCCCTGCGCTTCTGTACTTCTTTTTATTTAGAAAATGCTGACTGAGCCATGTTCGGTTTGTTTTCGGAGACTCTGCCAAGGGCTGTAGCCCGAAACGCAATCGCAACTTAATCGTTTCGGTATTGCTGGCTTGGATTTTCTTGCACCCAATGAGTGAGATCCTCTGCAAAGCACTGACCTCTGTTCGAACACGTCTGAAAGTAATACCGTCCCAGCTAACTGCAGTGAATTGAGTATAGTTTCACTATATGAGAGGTAGTTGCACTGACTGCTAACCACGGTATATCACCCTAATCCCGGTAGTGACGAAATTACTGACCTCAATTCTCTTTCGTCACTTTAATGCGGAAGGGGTGTCCGTGTTTAGGGAAGAGCAGGCAGGTTTCCTTCCAAAACGGTTGTATAGATCGTATATTCACTCTGTAGTGGATGCTAGGACAGCGCTACGTACCGCAGGCCAAGATAGGTATGTGTTCGACTCAGTCGATCTATCCGTTCTATTTGAAACTTATGCGGAAAGGTGTTCCCATGAAATATGCGAGCATTTTACTTAGCCTGTACTCGTACACCACAGGCTGTCAGGGTCTACTATGACTTACCACACATCTTTCTGACGAATCAGGGTTGTCCATTTCTCTTCTTTATGATCATCTTCATCGTGGACTATATCATAGTGTCATCCTTCGCGGAATCTCACAATGCGGGCCCTGACGTACTTCCTGGTGAAATGCTAGTTGATCTTGTATATGCGGACGACTGTCTTATTGTTATACAGTATTGGAGCGGTTGTCATCCCTGAATAACCTATAGACGGCTCTCATCATTTGGTATGCGCTTCGCACCTTAAAAAGTCCAGTGTTGCTACAGGACTACTGGCCACTTAGTGACCCCTTTACCCTTGGTAGTAAAGAATTCGGGGTATTTGCTCACTTCCTTTGCATTAACAGGTGCACCAGCACTGAAATCAGTTCATTTATTGCGAAAGCTAAAACTCTTCTTAAATCTGTGGCATCAGATAAGTGTTCTCTTCGGTTTGAGATGTTTACAAGACCATGATAAGAGCCGTCTTGCTCCAACGCTAATGAGAATTGGCACATTCAAGTTTTTTTCTCACCGTTGTCGGCGTATCATTACTGGTGTCGGATCGCACCAGTGTGTCCGTATCGGTGATATGCATAAGCGAGTGCTATGCGATGGCAATCATGCTAGTTCTTTAGAACAACAGAACACGTACTACGTGTGCCCGGTCACCGCTTACCAGAGGGTCTTGTTTTGTTTGCATGATATAGGGTGGCGCCACGCTCGATGTTGGCAGAAGTTCACTTGGCAGCGGGTAACGAATTCATTGTCTTCAGACTGGGTGCTGTCTCGTTTTCCAGGCTGGAGTCCACGTGACACACTGCAGGGCTTCGCTCACAGTCGAAAAACGTTTCGTGTTTGCAGCTGTCTTTTAGTCAGACTGCTTGATGCTACTTTAACTACGACGTAATGACTTATTATGACGGGGCAGTGCAAGTCGGAAGGAAGCTGTCTCCTCTCTGTGGACTTATCTTTTCGTGATGGGCAGTGGTTTGTGATGGCGTCTTGGCATTATTTAGGCGCCTTGACCCTCTGAATGATTGCGTTGAGCATTAAGGTTATTCGTCAGGTCCTATTCTCTCCATGCTTGTACGGCAGCAAAGCATCAGTTCAAATGGCTGGTGCTGTTGATGAGCGCAAAGGTAGCAAACCAGCTACCTGAATGTGTTCTTTGTCTACCAGCCGAGGCACACTTCAGCTCTGTTCCTTGTTCATGTATGTACCTCGTTCTTCAACCTGGTCCATTACTTGTCTTACGCTAACATTTTTTGCTCTCTCCACGTAACAAATGTGTCAATAAGTTGGATCGTGTTTCTTCCCGTTGCCATTGTTCACGTTTTCATTTCTTTAACCTACTGAAAATAGCCCGGAACCGCACCCTGTTACATGGTTGAAGGCTGCGATTTTCGAGAGGCAGATGGTAGTTTGCGCCACCAAACATGGAGATTAACATCAATCGAGAGGTTGAAGATACCTTTTACAGGTATAAGATGCCGAAGCTCAGCGCCAAGGTATGCTCTGTCTTTCACTTTTGTATATTTATGCAGGTAGAGGGTAAGGGAAATGGAATCAAGACCGTCATCGTTAATGTTTCTGACATCGCCAAGGCTTTAAATCGCAAACCCATCTGTAAGTGCAGTGCCAGTGTCTAATACGTTTCCAGATTTGACCAAATTTTTTGGTTGTGAGTTGGGGGCTCAGATTCACGTTGATGATAAGAACGAACGATATATTGTCAACGGTGCTCATGAGGCTGCAAAGCTGCAGGAACTTTTAGACGGCTTCATTAAGAAGTTTGTTTTATGCCAAGGATGTTCTAATCCCGAGACCACTATGGTATGCTTCACTGCGTTCGTAACTATCTGCCTAGCATGTCAACAAGAAGTCAGGTGTCGTTGAAACCAATTGCAAAGCTTGTGGTAGTCGGGGGCAACTAGATGTGGCTCATCGTCTGACTCAATATATCGTCAAAAATCCACCTGACCCGGATTCTTCAGTGAAGGCCAAAACAAAGAAAGGTAAACGGGCCAAAAATGGTGATCGCAACTCAGGTAACAAACTATTGGCGTTGAATTATCTTTTCAGATGATGATCAAGACGTGAGCACTGCTGGAGGTGATGACACCAGCCATTTTAGTCCCACAGGCAATGCATCTAATTTCGACGATGATGATTGGGTGGAAGACACCACTGAAGAAGCTCAGCAACAGCGAATGAGTGAACTCTCCGCCATGGCAAAGTCCCTTGCTCTCAGTGTTGACGTGGATAAATCAGAATCAGAGAGAGCTAATGTTCTCTACAAACATCTGCGCCAGCTGCATGGAAAGAATGAAGTTCTGTCACATCGACGTGAGATCAAGGCACAAGCCGACAGCCTTGAATTGGGGTCGCGTGCGGTTTTGGTTTTGGCCGAAGTTCTATTGTCGTCGCCATCCACCATTATCGCCGATATCAAGAAGTTTGCACCCGTGTTCACCTTGTTCACACGCTTCGGACCAACTTCGAGCCGAAGTCAGCATTATATGCTGGGCGCCATGGCCAAGCTCATTGAAGGATACAGCGATCATAATCTGTTAGGAAAGGCATGTCACATGCTAAAGGCTTTTTACGATAATGATATCGTCGAAGAGGATGTCATCTGTCAGTGGTATGACAAAGGGGTATGTTAGACACTTTGCTTTATGAATCCTTAGCCTTCACGGAAATTTGTCTCTCGCGAGCTTAGTTCTAAAATCCTCAACCAGTGTTCTCCCATGGTTAAATGGTTGCGGGAGGCTGAAGAGGAGTCGGATGAAGCCGATGACGCGTCCTTGTCAGACTCAAAGGCAAGTCATCCCCAGTTTTTCTTATTATTTTTTCCTTGCAGCATGGTTCTGATCAAGCGGATGTTATCGACAAGGAAGCGGTCGTCACCCAGGACTCCAAAGAGGATACCGATAGTGATGATGAAATAGACATTGATGCCATATGACGACTTCACTCGTCCATGAGTCGCCTCGCTATCATAGTGATGGTCTTGGTTCCTGACATGTTTGCGTTAAACTCCGTTGTCTTCATTTCTGCTAATCTTTGCTTATAAAGTCGCTTTCAATACACGCATGTGGTCGTACGTATGCGTTCTTTCTTCCCATTGGTTTCCGCTGTTAAAAAATCGCGTGACGGCTTGTGAAGTTGCCAAGTGTATTAACAGTGCTCCATTATAATAGTCTCGTGCTAGAGATTGCTGGTGTCGAACGGCGTCAGTTTCTTCGCGATGTTGCGATGCATCGACGCCAATGAGCAGTGATGGTCGGATCAATTCCTTAGGGGTAACAAATCTTTTTGAATGAGCTGCTTAGAATTACGCACGGTTCATGTATCTCCATTACTTGTTTTGGAGAATTCTTACGAGCCAAGGAGAACCAAAGTTGACGGCGGGAAGTAAACTCGCTACCGACTAAACTGAGTGCCCGTTTATCAGCCTTATGTTTTTGTTTGGAGTCCACGAGATATTGCCGGACGTGGCTCTCATATGGCACAAATGACGCACTTTTTGTCGCCTTCGGTGCAGTGATTTCATAGGTCCAATGTTCTTTTATACTAAACTGACTAATCTGTTCGAACAGGTATCAAAAGTGCACCAGTCAAGCAATGAGATTATGGTAACATTTAGGATCATAGAGCTCTCAGTTTGGTAGTGGCATTCAGTAGCCTCCATCCTCGTTCAGCGCCTTATCTTGGAACGAGGATCTAACATGAAAACTCAAACAGCTTTCTGACCAGGAGACTGACTGGATCATATTTTCAGAAGCACCGTACGTACCATAGGGTGGTTAGCTTTACTATCGAGTTTTATGGGCATTCTCGAATTAATCAACTGATCCGTCATGTTCGATATGCTCGCCCAGAATGTTATCGAAATACCCGTGCCTATTTCATTAGCTTTGTACTCCAGCGAGATGGTATGTCAAAGTCTGCTACTAGTTACCGTCTCCGTTTCTGCAACTGGTGGTTTCGCCAGGAGTTGTACTTTCCAGCCCACCATCTAAATTCTGTCTCGGGGTGGCAACTAGCAGTTTATTTCTTTACAGCTCCATCGAAGTGTGCTTAAAAACGTTAAGAATGGTACATTATCTGCCTTATCAATACGCTAACCGCTTTTCACGTGATATATTAAAAATTGTAACACGAGGATGTGAAATATCAGTAGGTAACGTTCGAGAAATGCATATCCAACCATCGTTTGCACTGCTGCATTGAGTTTGCTTCGGGTATTTGAGATTTACCAAATACTACTCGCACGGGATGGAGTACTCGCCTCAGATCTGGGACCCAAAGCTTGCTCTGGTGTCATGTACTGCAAGATGTTCGCAAATGATGCACTGACCTCAGCTAAATTGCGGTAGGTCATGATGAGCTCGACGATGGGCCGAGGTATATAGTCCCCAACCCTTCGCATCAGTCCTCGTACCGTAGGCTTCGCAAACGAGATGAATCTAGTAGTGACGTGTTGGATCCGTTCAGTCTTCATTGCTTTGCTCCTAGTGTTCGTAAAAAAGGCGGTTGGTCTACATTGATCCGATGATGGTGGAGAAGAGATGAGTGGCAACTTCTTCAGAGATATGCGTTTGAGCACCTAGAGCATGGTTAGTCCGTTTCGGTGCAGCCTATCTGCGGCCAGTAGCCGAGTAGTCTGCGCGCCTGGTTTGCAATTATGAGGTCACCGGTTCGAATGTGCGTAGTAATGGGCCTCCTCGCGGTATACTCAGCCGGCGCACAACTATTGTTGGTTGCGTAGCAGCGAACTGCCGTTGCGGCGTACAGCTGACGATTTATTTATTGTTTATCTTTTTGTCTACGGATGCAGCGTGAGTACGCTCAGGTCCTTCACGGGAAATGTTGGTTGTAGCAATTTGCCGTCAACATTGTAGGTTAGATCGTCACCACTCTCCTCCAGGCTCCTAAATATCCATTTGGGTGGATTTATCGGGAGACGGAATCCTGCAGACCATATGCGAAGTCGGTTTGAGGTGTTACTGAAGTGTGCCGCGGTTGCCGGAAGTGATTATCATCACATCTTCAGGTCCGTCTGTAGCCTTATCGTTAGCCTGCCTTATAGTCCGAGGGCGCGGGTTCTAGTCTGCGTAAAAACCGGGCGACTGATAATGATTGCGCCTCAGCAAAACTTCGGTATTGCGTACCAGTTTACTGCTGTTTCATTTTGTCTTCACATCGCCTTTAAACACGCACACGGCGAGGTAAATCATTGATGTGGATTAGGAACAAAGTGGGCTCCATCACCGTGATACTAGTCGCAAGATACCAGTTGGTCAGATAGCCATCGACTTGCATTTTCTACTTTCATCCGACGAGCAAGTCTTGAATCCCCTGGTGCGGAGATCCATCTAAAGCGTACGCTCTCCGCTTGAGGAGGTGGACCTTGTCGAACGCATTGCTGAAATCGATGTAGGTCACATCGACAGACTCCAGATTCACTGCTCACAAAAATTCATGCATCGTCACGAGCAGGTTGGTGATGCACGAACGGCCTGTTATGAAGCCACACTGATCGGGCGTCAGGAATCTTTTGACCGAAACAGCTGTCAAACGCCTTCCGAAGTTCGTCTTACTACCGAGCATTTCTAATTGATCGACAATGAGTCTTTGGACTGCGACCGTTTGTACAGGTCAGTTACGGTAGGCGGGATGATGGCCGAGAAGAACTTAGAGAGTGGAGACCGGCGGGCTTGCCGCCGTCAAGGTTGGTGCGTCTCACACTACAATCCAGATTGTCGAGTTCGGTAAGGCTGATGCATCATCGGCGCACGTTTGCTGAGGGTGGGAAACACCTCAGCTAAAGTGCCCCAAATACAAAAAGATAACCTACTAGAAAAATCACACCACAAAGAATTCAAAAAACTAATATATTAGGGATTCCATGAGGTCTTAATTGGAGGAGAGTCTAGAGGGGTGATGGACGAAGGAACTCAACACAAGCGTCATTGGGGCTGACTTCACCAAATCAGCAAGTGTGTCCAACCAAATGTGTTCCTCGTCCTTGGGACCCCAGCCAGGCAGTGAGGATGCCCAAACCGACGCCAACTTCGAAGCGAGAGTCTTCCTTCCTCTCTAACAATTCGCCTCTTGGCCATCCCTCCTCTTTTTCCAAGCGTACCACCGATGCGCAAACAACGCATGATGCAGGTGTTGGTGTGCTGGCATGTGCAACACGGCCCAGCCATCGGAGCCTAGTGCGTGTTATAGTGGTGCTGAGCGGTTCACTCTCTTCCTGCACTTGATACACGACGCCGAACACCCCCAACAGACATGAGGTAAGCTGCGATGATCGAACGTAGCTTGCCTCTGTGTCTATCGACATGGTTGGCCAGGTTTCACAATCGAGTTGGAGGGTTGAACGGACGACTGCATTGTAAACTACCCTTCAGGGCGGGTGTGATGTCGCGTCGGCGCCACAGGGGGCGTAGATTGGCATAAGCACCTCGAGCTTTTGCTGTACGGTTCGCAACCTCATGTTTGATCCCACGGTTGCTACTGTAGTTGCCCAGGTATTTGAATTCCTGACCGACTTTTGCTCATCATCAAGGCTCAGCGCAGAGATAGGTCCCTGCCAGGTGCCTCTTTGTCATTGCTACCTGTGCCTCTACAGACTGTAGCACTGATTCGGTGAAAGGTGATTTCTATCCGCAACTTAACGATCTTTTTCGTTACAGAAGATGTGCGGATACTGTGGTGTTGGCTGGCGGTCTAAACGCCCAAGTCGAAAAATTGTCCTCTGATGCGCTTCATCTGGGCAGCTAACATGGTGTAGCTCGTAATGATAACAGTGAGGGATTGCTACATCTGTGTGTAGATGCTCGTTTCTTTCTCGCGAGCACAAACTTTCAACACAGAACCCGCAGAAGCGTGACTTGGCGTCCACTAGCTTCGCACCAGCCATGGACGCAAATCGATCACCTCGCGATCAGTTACCGCTGGAGAGGCTGTGTCCAAAACTGTCGCTCGATTTGGAGCACGAGCGTGGACTCCGACCACGCACTTGTCTGCGCCGCCCTCCCGGTGCATTTCGGTGGACGTCCGCAACGTGATGTGAACGAATTGACACTAGCCAGCTGGCGAAGCCAGCTGTTCTGAATGTGTATCAAAGTGTGCTGACATTCGAGTTGAGTAAGCGCCCAATGAACACCGTCGAAGATCACTGGTCGCATATTCGTCAAACGTTACTATTAGCAGACACGTCTTCATGTGGCAAATCAAATTGCCAAACTGCACATTGAACTTATGGATGCTCCCTGACCTATTCCGGCTGGGAGCGAATACAATGAGGCTCGCAAAAATCTCAGGGCAAAATTACGTGCTAGGTTAAAGAAAGACCGTGAAGCCTGGTGGTCTCAACGTGCCTCGGAGATGCAAACAGCCGTCACCGTTGATAATCATCCGTCTGATACGGAAAGCAGGTCGCAGGAGACCTGGTGTTAGGGAGACCAGAGTGGACAGCCGACCCACAGCTTGTCAAAACGCTTGGAGCGTTGGGCCGACCACTTAGCAAGACAATTTAACCAATCTGTGTTATCGTTTTCTTTCTCGGACATTGGGCGCCCTTATTCCTCGGACTTGTCCGTCTCCTTATATCCGCCCTCGCGCAGAAGTCGAACGTGAGATCAGGCTGTTGAAATCTCATAAGGCCGCAGGGTCAGACCAGATTCTTCTATCCCTCTTCCAATTCTGGGGACCTGCTTTAGTGGATGATTTACACGAGTTGCTAGTGCAACTATGGGAGCAGAAGACTGTTCCGACAGACTAGAGCCGCTCCGCCATTGTCCCAAATTTCAAGGGAGTCTCCCGTTCGGAATGCGTCAATCTTAGAAGGATCAGTCTCATCACAATTGCCTCTAAATTACTTACAGACTGACTGGCATTCGTGAAAGCGAGATTCGTGAAGAGCAAACCAGGTTTCGTCGAGGTCGGGGCTGCATCACCACGTTTTCACCTTGCGTCAATTGTTGGATTACCGCCATGTCTATTGGCGACCCCTCGTGTTTCTTGACATAAAAGGTGCCATCAACTCAGTCGATCGATGTTCCCTTTGGGACTGTCTGCTGAGGAAAGGT